CGAATCAGAAGAGACTGATGTAATACTATTATTCAATATATGATCTGTATTCAGTTTTCACAACGAGCCCCAATAATATTTTTTATTTTTTTAAAATTAGTTATACATGACAGTAGGATGCATTTATGCACTTTGTTATATCATACATAGATGAGATATAATTTCTCATTTTTCTGAGCGTACATGTTGCAGAATCATATTGGTCATGCAGTCACATATATACGTACAGTAATAATGTCTGTTTCATTTTACTATCTTGCCTATCCCTACATCCCTTACCCTACCCTCCCATCACTTCCCTCTAACTAATCTAAGGTAACTCTATTCTTCCCTAGTGCCCTGCCGCCTTATTGTGAATTAGCATCCGTATATTAGAGAAAACATTTGGTCTTTGGTTTTGTGGGATTGGCTTATTTCACTTAACATGATATTCTCCAACTTCAACCATTTACTGGCAATAGAGTTTTGTTTTCAATTCAGTCTGGACATACACTGCCTTTAGCTGTCATAGCTCTTTAACTGTTTAATTTAAAATAGTTCTTTAGCTTTTCTTCCCCATAATGTTAACATTTTTGAAGCACAGGTCATTTTTTTTTAAAGTATATACTTAACATGGCTATGTCTTATATGAGCATAAGATTCAGGTAAAACATTTTTAACAAGAATAATATATAAATGATGCAGTTTTTCTTAATGCATTACAAAGGGAGGTACATGATACCAATTTGTCCCAGATGGTAACATAGAATATTTGGTTCTATGTCTACTGTCTTTTTCCACTAAAATGTTATCATATTTTACCCATGTAATTAAAAAATAATCTGGGATAAAATGCTTTGAGGTGGTGTAAATATCCTCTTCCCCATCAAACTTTCTCCCAATAATTTTAGCATCTATTGACTAGACTCATTTGTATCAATTATTATTATGACGATGTCTGTAAATGGTGATTTTAAAAATGTTATCACTCAAAAGATAGGAAACTTTTTTTTTGTACTGAGGCTTGAACCAGGAGAGCTTTACCACTGAGTTACATCCCCAACCCTTAAAAAACTTTTTATTATGAGACAGGGTCTCATTCAGTTGCTTAGGGCCTCACTAAATTGCTGAGACTAGCCTTGAACTTGTGATGGGTTGTTGGGATTACAGGTGTGTGCCACCACACTGGGCCAGAAGATAAGAAAATTTGATATTTTATTCATATCAATTGGGAGTTGATTTTGTTATTCATAACTGGAGCACTAAGATTTAAGTAACTTCTTAAATGCAAAGTCAGAATTTTCAAACTTCATCCTTTACAGTGGTAATATTGATAATACTGTATCTCTGCTACTGTTACTAATAACTACTGTTTATTAAATGATTATTTTTGTGTCATCCACAATATGAAGCATTTAGATATATTGTCTCCTTTGGCCCTCATAGTACCAAAGAAATAGGTACCATTATTTTTTTCTAATTTCCAGAAGAGGAAACTGAGGATCATAGTTTGATCTTGAAAGGTGATTTTGCAGCACAATCCATCATTTGTACTACAAAGTAATAAAATGGGAAGGAACTTGTTATGGTTCAAATGTGTTCCCTGAAGTTCAGGTGTTAGAAACTTAATTACCAATGCAGCAGTTTTGAGAGAAGGGACCCTTGAGGGGTGGTTAGGCCATAAGAGCTCTGACGTCATGTGTGGACTAATGTTCTTTCCAGGGAAGTAGGCTCATTATCACGAAAATGGATCTTTTATAAAAATGAGTTCAACACCCTTGTTCACTCCATTCTCTCTTACTCTCTGTCATTTGCCATGATGAGGACCATCAAGAAGGTCCTCATCCAGAACTGTGCAAATAAATTTCTATTCTTTATAGATTATTCAGTCTATGGTATATTGTTATAGCAATACAAAATAGGTCAAGACAGGCTGATCTGCTCTGAGATTGTGACTAATGTCTTTATTTTCCATTTCCAAAGTCAGCTATATTGTTACATATCAATCTCACTGTGGATAAGGGCTGGAGTATTGACTAGCACTTAGAGGTAAGTCCAGCCTCCTGATGTTGTGAAATGGAATACAGTAGTCTCTGATTATCCACAGTTTCATTTTCTTTGGTTTTAGAGTTGCACACACTCAACTATAGTCCAAAAACATTAAGTGATAATTTCCAGGAAAAAAACCCTTATAAATTCTAAATTATGAGTCTTTCTGAGAAGCATGATGAAATCTCATGCCATCCCACCTGGGATATGAATCACCACTTTGATCAGCATATCCATGTTGATATATCTACACAAGTCATTTAACAGTTATCTTTGTTATCAGATCTAATGTCATAGGTATCACAGTGCTTGTGTTCAATTAACCCAGAAAGCAACAGTATTGAGCAAAAGAGGCACCAAGGGGATAAAGCATGGAAGGACAGATTAACTTTGGTAGTAAGTCACAATGCTGCAGAGCATATTAAAAAAAACAAACAACACAATATAATACATACAGATGGTACCTGACTTATGGTAGTTTAACTTATGATTTTTTGACTTTCCAATTTGTTTTTAAGGAGTAATCACAACATAAATGAAGGAACATCTGTATTGAGTTTAGTACTATCCAAGGTTTCAGGTCTCTACTGGGAATCTTAGAAAGTAGCCTGAGATAAAGGGAAATGACTGTTACAGAAACTGATGTAGCATGATGCTGTGGTTTTTGAAATGCTATCAGTATTAGTAGAAGGCATCTTTTTTCCCCCTGTAATGTGTGGTTTGGGATAACTTTTTCCTCACTTTCCAGTGCTCCTAAGGGAGCTAAGCAATACTTAAACATGCACCAGGAAAGTCAAATGTTTAAATGCACATGGATTTAAGAAGAATAAGCTATGAAGGAAAAGAATGGGAAAGTAAGTGGGATACAGTGGTGGGGAAAGAGGAAGACATTTGAGAAAAGTGAGAAATTTGAATGTGAACTTCATAAGAGGAAGAACCCCCCCCATATCTATTACATGTGGAGCAGAATCTAACACATAAGGGGGACTGAGTGAAATTATTGAACAGGTCATGGAATTATGGGCAACTGATGAATGGATGTATATTACAAGGGGGGCAGCTGAAGAGTCACATCCATTCCAATTCAGGTGCAGGAGCTGAAAGCCCCTAGTGAGCAGCATCTGTAGGATCTGCTTCAGCTTTTACATGGAAGGTACATTCTTGCCAGGCATTCTCTACCAATGACGAACATACAGTGGGGCATACTGGGGTCTGAACACAGGGAAGAAGCCATTTCTGCCCAGTGTGATCTTCTCTAAGAGTCATTTTGCTCTGAAGTTCATTTTTAGGTTGGTCGATCTGTCTGCCAGATCTGCATTATGATCTTAGGCTCTTTTTGCCCAATCCTGCTTCCTCTTTCAGAGATACCCTCCCCTTGCAATTTCTTATACTTTTAATTCTGTTTTAATGTATTCTTGCTGAAGGATCAAAATGACACAAGGGGTGACATTGTGCCTTGAAGTCTCATCATTCCTTTAATACAGGACAAATAGTCAGATTTTTAGTTATTCTGGGTTCAGTCTTCCCTGGTCTCAACAGTCTTTGTGGTGGAGGTTTCGCATCCAAGTGTGATTACAGATTAGTGTTAGAACATGAACTGTTATTTCACCTATAAAAGAAGATGGGTGCAGAAACTGAAAATAATCATTTAGAAGCTTTCATAACAATTTCCCATTTGGTATGACATTTGTGACCAGTGAACTGGTTTTCTTGAACAGTATATAGATTAGTTTGGATGTTGTTGAATTCATATGGTTATCCCTGTTGTATGAACTGTGTATTAGTCATGTGCAGCAGGGCCAAATTCCAGACTGTGTTAATATTTTTTAAATATTTATTTTTTGTTTTAGGTGGACACAGTATCTTTATTTTACATTTTTTTTATGTGGTGCTGAGGATTGAACCCAGTGCCTCATGCAGGCTAGGTGAGTGCTCTACCACTGAGCCACAACCCCAGCCCGTCTATGTTAATATTTTAAGCTTAGTTTGGTAATAGTGAACCAACAATGTATAATCTGGAGTTGACTTCTTTCACCAACACATAATTTAAAATTAATAACTTTAAATAAAAATTGTTGAAACTGGCAACTAATGGATAATTGATGATGAATTTTGAAAATATGGCATAATTTGTTTCATTTTAGAAAAAAGTTAAGAATTGATATTCTTAGTGCCTTGAAACAGCTTTAAAATCTCTTATTTCTATCAATGTACCTATGTGAGAGATTTTTTTCTATTGTTAATGTGAAAATAGAAAATTTAAAAATACATGGTATCCCCTGCAAACTCTTCAAGAAGCTGTCTTTAATCCAAGTATAGAAAACAAACCAGAAACAAGTTCATTTGGCACTTTAAGAACTTGGCACTTTAACTATTGACACTCCATGATTGTGTAAAGCACTAGGCATTTCATACATGGAATTGCAATTTCATGAGAAACTTTTTGTTGAATTATGAATGTGGAACAATAAAAAGTTACGGATGTCAAATAGTTCAGTTCGAACAATATGTAATTTGGGGAATTATTTTTTTTTCTTTGAAATGCAACTTTACATGTACTGAAACGAATAATTAAAAACCTGAGATTGTATTTTGCACATCTTTTTTTTTTTTTTTTCATTATTCTGGTAACTCATTTTTCCCGTATTTACGAAAGTATCTCTTACCGATGTACTGGAAAAATAAAGAACTCATCCGTCACCACATAAGTGGCTCTGAGGCTAATTTTGAGACAGAGTGCCGTGAAGAACCAGGCCCCGGAACACTTCGGCCAAAGCAAAATTTTTAGTAACTAACATTTCTATCCTCAATTTGTATTTAGACAAATATAAGTCTAGATAAAAGTGCCCGGAGTCCCTCCTCAAAGGAATTTCACGTAGCTGGGCGGAGACACTCGAGAGCCCTGTCTTCCGGAACTGAGTAGAGGGGCGGGGCGTGTAGCGTGAGGTCATCGGAGAACGACGATCGCCCTGCAGGCAGAGCCGGCGCGTTACTGATGTCATCATCGCCCGACAGCGTTCAGAGAGTCTGGAGTGCACGGCTCAGAGGTATTATTCAAAGTTGGGGTTGAGTCTTTTAGGTACGCCTGCGAATGTCTGCTTCTCTGTCCTGGATTACCCTATCGTTTTCTGGCCAGACCGGGAGGATTCGGGTCGGGGCTGCCTCGCCTTCCGGGAATGCGATCTGTCACGGCCGAGCTTTGCGGGTGGCATTCGCAGGACCCCCACTTCCGCTTGTCCTGGGATTCCTTGCCGACTTTTGCTTATCGTAGCCCCTCACTTTCCTCTCTGGTTCCGTTTTCTTTTCCCCCTTCGCTCGTTAACTCTGCCTTTCAAATATCGGAAGGCAAGAAATAAAAATATATGGCTTCCAAGTGAATTTTCAGCCTTTTCAGCGAGAAGGGCCAAAGTGGAAAGTGTAGGGGAGTAACTTTCCTATATTACCTTCGTTTATCAATCGCATTCATGATTGCAGATTGCCTGCCGCTGTTCGATCAGCCCATCTGAATAATAGGCTAATTTCACTTTTCAGCTGAAATCCGTAGTGAATAATTACAAAGCAGTTTTCTTTTTCAGTGTGAGTCAAACTTCTGTTAGCAAATAACTTACGTGTCTTTATGTTTGTTGACTGCAATTAAATTTTGGCTTGATAAAGATGTTTCTATCCGAATAAGATGATTTTGGTTCGTTTATTCACCTATTTGGACTTTTTAATAGTAGACTGAACCAAGACTTAAACCATGTTTTTGATTCAGAAATAATAGGTTTTATCCATTGAAGTTCAGCGAATAGTTTGTGGCTTGTGGAAATGATAGAGTTCATTTTTTTGTTGGAATATAAAATGACAAAGTGTGAATCATGGATTATCAAAATAATCTGAATAGCTGCTTTCAAATTGCCTCACAAATCAGAGGCATATACTTTTTTTTATTAACAGCTTTTAACTTTTCATATGGCTCTTCATGTATATTATCTCATCTATTTCCAAACATTTGATTCTTTAAATATGACTCTAAATAGTCCACATTGGATTAGGGTTTTTGATCATTTTCAGTTTAATAAAATAATACCAACTATTACTAGCAAATGTTTTGAGTGTTAACTGAACCAAGTACTGTTTTAATAGCATACCTATATTATTCATTCAATTTGCACAAGAACCCTGTATAGTATTATTGTTAATTTAGAGAAGAGATGATTGTAATAAACAAGTTTCATGTATTTTCAAAGGTAATTTTGTTGCTTTGTGTTTATAATTTTGAAAACTCTTTAAATTACATTGAAAAGAAGTAAATTGCTTCCAATCTGATGTAATTACTTATCTCTATTTTGAGCAACCTCCTTGTAACTTATATATTTTTTATTATAAAACTTTGGGACATATTTGTTTTTAGAATTTATTTATTAGAAAAGGAAGAATCTTTTATTTTCTCATGGATTGTATTGTATTCATGAAGGAGAATTACAGATGACACTAACATAGACTCAGTTTGTCCAAGACAGCAATATTTATTGAGAACTTGTATGTACATTTCACTATTATTTTCTAAGATAATATAGTATTTAAAAGAACATCTGAAAATGTTTCTCTAGTTCTAAAAAACAATGATATGTATGTTGAATTTTTTTCTCTTAGTTCATAACTGTGTATAACTCTACTTGGTATAGAGATGGAAACAGTCCCCAAATGTACAGTATGACATTTTTTCTTTTGGGTTCATGTAGTAACTTCCTAATAGCTGTAGGTCCAAACTACAATCTGATAAGATTCTCTAAAAGTTGGTTCCAGTTTACTTTGATTGGTTTTAATCCATAGAAACTGCTTTGGAGTTTGAATTTTAACCTCTTTCTGAGTTAGTGATCTATGATGCTGGGTAGCAGTAAGATAGTTCCCAGTCAGCCACATGATCATGAGGGTAAACAACTGATACTCCACAGTGAACTGTATTCAATGAATTATGTAAGATATGCAGCATTTTATTATAACAGAGGCATAGTGTTAGAAGATTTTGCCCAATTGAAAGCTAGGTAAGTGTTCTGAGTATTTTAAGGTAGGCAAGGCTAAGCTATGTTTGGTAGGTTAGATATATTAAATACATTTTCAACTTGTTATTTTTAACTTAAAATGGGTTTATTGGTATATAACCCCATTGTTAGCTGAGGAGTATCTGTAGTTATTAAGTACCTAGTATCTGTAGTTGGTAAATGTCTATATGTGACAAGATTAGTGATATGGAGGTAACAAATTTGATTCAAAATCCTGCCTTGAAGAAAGAGCCTAGCAAGTAAACAACAAATGAGAAGTTCTGAGCAAAGGAACAATGTGATCCTGACTTAAGTTTTAATAGGATCACACTGATTGCTGTGCTAAGAATAGCTTATTGGATGATGGGGTAGATGAAAACCAGGAGACTAATTAGGGAGATGTTGTAATAATTCAGATGAGATGATAGCATCTTAACTAGATGGAAAGAAGTTAAGGGGTAAATAGCAGTACAATTTTGGATGCATTTTGTATATGAAGCCAACAGAATTTGCTTACATATTGAATGTGGTTTGTGAGAACAACATAATTGTCAGTTTTGAGCCTGAGCCACTAGAAGAGTGGAATTGCCTTTTACTGAGATGTGGAAAACTGTGGGAAGGGCAGGCTTGTGGGAGAAGATTAGGAGTTCAGTTATGACATGTTCAGTTTGAGATATGTTAGTCATCCAAGTGGAGATGTTGAGTAGGCAGTTGGATATATGGAGTCTGGAGTTCAGGGGGAGTGGTCGTTGCTCCAAACAAACATTTGGGAGTTGTCATTGAACAGATGGTATTTAAAGTTGTGACTTTGGCACTAGTCATTAAAGCAGTGAATGTAGATAGAAAAGAGAAGCAGCAGCTGAGCCCTCAGGTGTTTAGAATTTTCCTATTAGGAAGGTGAGGAAGAACCAGCAGGAGGCAGACTGGACAGCCAGCAAGGGAAAAGGACAATTTTGAGTCAGGTATCGTGGAATTCAGGGTGGAATAATGTGTTCAATTTTGTCAGATGCATCTGATGGATCAGGTAAAATGAGGATTGACACCTTTGGATTTATCGAGATACATGTGGAATATTACTGATGGGTATGTGATATGTGATAACTCTTAAGTCTGGAGAAGCAGTCACACACCAGTATATAACTATATTATGGGTGTATTCAGAGAACCTTGAGAGTGAAGCTGAGGAACAGATTACTTTTATTTGGGAGATATGGAAGTCTTCTTACAGAGGAAGGGGCATTTGATGTGGATAATAAGTTTGTTTAGGGCCTCCCCCCCCCCCCCCCCCCAAATGAGTAGAGGTATGGGGAGGACTTTTCCAAGTAGAGGGAAAGGACTGTGAAACGACTTCCCTTCTTTCTCTTTCTTCACAGCCACACCTACCCGTCAGCTATTTTATGCTTTGGCAAGTCTTCTTTATATCTACTAGCCAATTCCCGGTTTTGGGTAACCTTGTAGCTCCAGGCCTACTAGGTAACTTGTGGGGATTTTAGTTATGTAGTTAATGACAGGAAAGAAGTTGAGTGTGATATTAGGGGGTGCGGGAAAGATGGGAATCCAGGCTGGAAGTGTGAGAGGGATAGACTTTGAAGGACCTTCTGTGTTGTGTAAAATAAGATTTTTTTCCCCCTAAAAGAATAAGGAATCATTGTAGTGATTTGTGAGGGATGCTTGTCCATTGGATTTCGATTCCATTCCACTGAACTTTACCACTTATTAGTCCTGTGACCTAAGTCCCTGTGGTGTTGTCAATAAAGTGCGGCTATTATCTGTTCCCATTTATAGAGTTGTCATGAAGACTCCCCCCTCTACTGTTTTTGTCCACTTCACTGTCATTCAGAATACTTTTTTTCTTCTTCATTTTTAAGAGTACTTTCTTAAAAGAAGTACTCAGTCTACCCTCAGATTAGGTCCCATGCATTAGTTTATAGCCTCAAGGCACCATTCATTTCATGTCATTGTTGTAATTTTATATTTCTGTGATTATTTGATTAATGTTTATCATCTGTACTAAATGTAAGCCTAGTGCAGGCAAGTTTTTGTTCTGTTATGGTTTAGATATGAGATTTTCCCCAAAAGCTCATGTGTGAGACAGTGCAAGGAAGTTTAGAGGTGAAATGATTGGGTTATGAAAGCTTAATCAGTGCACTAATCCACTTGAATGAATTAACTGGGTGGTAACTGTAGGCAGGCAAGGTGTGACTTAAGAAGGTGGGTAATTTGGGGCATGCCTTTGGGGTACATGTTTTGTTCCTGGTGAGTAGAACAGTCTGTTTTCTGATTGCTTTGTCCTGGGCTGCTTTTCTGCCCTGATGTTCTGTCTCAACTCGGCACAAAACAATGGAGTAGGCCATCTGTGGACTGAGAACTCTGAAATTGTGAGCGCAAAATAAACTTTTCTTCCTCTAAAATTGTTCTTGTTACAGCAATGAAAAAACTGACTAAAACATATTCCAAGTTTCAGGACAATATGTCATCAATACTAAATAAATATCTATTGAATAAGTAAGTCCTTAATGTCTGGCAGGTGGTAAATGCTCAGTGGATGTTATTCATTTACAAGGCATTGTGCATTGTGTGCAGATGAAGGAGTCAAGGATCAATAAAAGAATTGCCGGGTAACTGAGAGGTGAAACCAGTGGTGGTTGGGTAGCATTAATTTGTGTTCTTTTGTGAGTTTCTTTAGGGATGTTCAGTAGGCCCAGAGCTAAAATGGTTACCAGGACTAAGAAGTAGCTAACAAGGCCAGAGAAATGTTAAAGACTTCCAGAAGTAACTTGGAAATAGCTGACTGGGAGGAAGGGAGCCAGAAGAGGCTTTTGTACCCTGGGAATAGAGAGAATATGGCCTTTTGGTGGCTAGAAAATTTAGATGTAAGGAAGTGAATACATTCATATGGTTCTTTGAATATAATAGAACTGAAGTGTATGGGTTTCATTTAGCTGCTAAGTAGTGGGAAATGACACTTTATCTGGCCTATTGGGGAATAAGGTAAATTTCAAAATTTAAGATAATTGAAGTTT